AATTTCAGCTAGAAAAATTCTTCGTTATAGTGGCTGATTCGGTTTATTGAGGTTCGTTATATCGAGGTTATACTGTATTATAGCAGGAAAAAGTGTTCAGTCTCCTATGCAAGATATTACAAATAATGATAATGATAATGCACAAGATTCCGATACTTCAGCTTCTACGATTAATGTATTGTCATTAAAAAGTGTTCAGTCTTCTCGCTCTATTAGGAGAAAAAATGTTAGTCAAAGCACTTTAACCCCCGTAATGCCTTCGTTAAAAAAAAGTCTTCGGTCTTCTGTCCAAAAAGATAATGGTGTTGAAAATACTCCCAAGCAAGATGGTACTATCAAAAACAATGCACAAGACTCTAGTACCTTAAATAATACATGTAAGATTGCTAGCAAAAAACAGGAGAAACTATCGATGTTAACAACTGATTCTTTATAAAAAAATTATTTTACAATACCAGATCATTCCGCTAGTACATATTATGATTATAATCCTACACTATTTTATTATAATAAAAATGGTGTAGGATTATAATCATAACATGTACTAGTGGAATGATCTGGTATTGTAACATCGATGGTTTCTCCTGTTCAAGTATTTGTTGCATTTTTTTACTTTCTAATTTATTTATACATTTATTTATATAGCGATAAGTAAAAAAAGGAAAGGGGAACAAAAGACAAAAGAAACGAAGGCAAGAATTAATAAGAGAATGAAAACTAATAAAAAGTGAAGGAATAGTAGAGATATGTATTCCGCAAAAATTCCATAAAATTATAGTGTTATTTCATTATAGCGATAGATTTAAACCTGCATTATTGTTATATTGACGCATAAAGTAATTCAATAAAAATTCCAGCTTATATCCATATAAATTTAATAAACTTTACAGTGAAATTTCAGTAAAGTCTTCGTACAAGTTCCATAATTGAATAAAAACATTTTTATTATTACATAAGTTTCAGTGAAATTTTCGTACAATTTCCATTATTTGAACAATATAATTCCAGAAGTATTCCATAAATATGCAACATTTATGGAAAGAATGCGGAAGTTGGCATTTGGTAATTTAAATGGAAAAAACATAGAATTCAAACACGGAAAAATAATGGAAAAATAAAGCTTGAATTTTTTTACAGGGATTGGAATTCACATTGGAATGAAAAGATAAGTCAAATCGTATTATATATTGCAAAATAACCTGATAGCGTGTGCAGTACATTGCGATCTTAGCAACATTTAAAACAAAAGGATGATCATGTTTACGGTATCTTATATAGCCCTTGAAATTTTAAATAATTGTGTGGAAGTTTTGTATGGAAAGCTGTATATAGTATTATACAGAAATGAAATGAGTCCGAATTTAACTTGAAAATACTTGATGGTTCGTCTGCCTGTTAATAAATTTTGTTATGCTATGTGACCTCTATGAAAAAATGTTGGAATGAAAAACCAGAAAAGTCGACAACCAACAAAAGAATTTTGTGAAATTTTAAAAATGGAGGATTATGAAAGGATTTTTAACGGAGTTAAATGAATTATGGGTAAAAGAAATCTATGAGTTTATAAAAAAAATGACAGGGTCAACCAATTTTTAAGGATTTTGGTAAGTTATCAATGAAGAGTTCAGTCAATAACAATTTATTCCATAATTCAATTTTACACGATGATGAACAAAATTCCACAACTAAATTTTCATGTTCTAAATAAATACATAGAAAATATTTTTATTAGTTTTTTTTATGGTATTGATTTATACAGTATTGTCGAATATAATTCAGAACTTTCTAATTTTTAATTTCAAACTTAAATATTAATTTAATAATTAAAATATACTGAAAGCATATACAATATATTGAGAATGATTTATTCAATACAGTATTCGACTAGGTTATACAAGGTCTCAGATCAATTAGTGACTGACTCGCCGTTTTACAGTCTTCAATATGCAGGCTTAAAGTTATACATAAATCAATGGGGTCATCTAAAGCGGAGCAGAATCACATGATATCTTACCAATCAAATTATAGAATTTTGATGATCGCAAGCAAAAACAAAATGCAGTCTAAACCTACCTCGGGTATGTTAAGCAAAAAATGATGGGAAGGCAATTTTGCATATACAGCCTACCCTCGTTAATATCAACCTAAACCATAAGATGAATTTTTACTAATTTTTATTTATTAAAACCTCCTCATATATATCAACTTTTAATATAATCACTTGTTGATATCACTATCAACATGAATTTAAATTAATTCAAATGGGTTGATATAATCGAGAGTAAACTGTATATAAATAATAAAAACCTAGTCTAACCTTAATCTAAGAAAACTTTAACTTGAAAGTTAATTCAATAAAATATATATTATAAGAATCTACTCTGCTTTAGACGTTCCCTAAAAATAGAAACAGGCGAATTAGATAAATTTGATGATCATAATTTAAACTGAGTGGCAAAGATGTCTTCATATGCAATTTCTAGTTTATTTTAAAAAATTTCATATATACGTAACATGTAGAGAACAGTACGTACGTAAGTACTACATATTACGTATTTCACAATGTGCTGTATTACGTAATCGGTAATCGGCTGATATAATTAAAACGCAATGTCAATTCACTAAAACTATCTTTATAACACTCAACTAGCTGTTTATCAGCTAAGATGTCGAATGAAAATTTACAAAGTATTTACAATATTCAACTTTCAGAATGGTCAGCAAAAAGCGAAATTTACGACTATCAGAACTCTAACCCTTTACAACAACAGATATGTTCCTTACAAAATGTTAACGAATCTCAGGATTTCATAAATAAAAAAATATCGATGAAATATGCGAATTACACGAAAAAGAAGTATTCAAAGGAAGCTATGATCAACAATTTATTAATTCAATAGAGAAATATTTGAAAAGCAATCAATTAAATTCAGAAGATCTAATTACCTTATGCTTGAATAATCAAACAAATTCTATACTATTAACTATTCTCGCACGTTGTTATCATTATGGAAAATGGGTTGAAAAGGATGAACATAAATCATTTAGTTATTATAAAAATTCTGCAGATACGGGAAATTCTTATGGAATGTGTGACCTTAGTCAATTATATGAAAAAGGAATCGGTGTTAAAGAAGATAAACACAAGGCATTCATTTATTATCAAATGTCAGCTAATATGAATAATCCTTGTGGATTAGATAAACTTGGTTATTGCTATAGAAATGGAATAGTTGTTGAGAAGGATAAATATAAAGTATTTTTTTATTATAAAAAATCAGCAAATATGGGGCATGCTAGTGGAATTTTGTATCTTGGTCATTGTTTCCAGTACAGTATTGGTGTTAAAAAGGATGAAAGTAAAGCATTCGATTATTATCTAACGTCTGCCGATATGGGTAATGCTAGTGGAGCATTTAATGTCGGCAATTGTTATCATCATGGAATTGGTGTTGAAAAAGATGAAAGTAAGGCATGCATTCATTTATTATCAAAAATCTGCTGATTTGGGTAGTACTAATGGAACATATAGTACTGGTTATTGTTATTTTCATGGAGTTGGAATTGAAAAGGATGAAAGTAAAGCATTAGTTTATTTTGAAAAGTCTGCTGATATGGGTGATTCTAGTCGAATGTCTCAAATTGCATTACAAAGTTTGTTATAGCATTTGCTAAATACTTGTTAAGTAGTTAAAAAATACTTGGCAAATATTTATTTGGCTTAAGGTATGTTGAATTGCAATTACAAGTATCTATTATAAGCATTTATAAGATACTTAAAAATTAAGTATTTAATTAATATAAAATTAACACTTAATAAGTAGTTAAAATTTTAAGTATTTTTAAAATATTAAATTTTAGTATTTATTAAGTACTAGTATTTACTAAATACAAGCTTGCATTTGGTACAACTTTATGATGTGGTTATTGTTACTATTATGGAATTGGAGTCGAAAGAAATGATCATAAAATATTCATTTATTTTAAAAGAGCTGCGGATATGGAAGATTATATTGGAATTTTCAATGTTGGTTATTGTTATCAAAATAGAATTGGAGTCAAATATAATGAATACAATGCATTTATTTATTATAAAAAAGCTGTAGAAATAGGGTATATTGATAAGATGCAAAAAGTTGGTTATTGTTATCAAAATGGAATTGGAGTTGAAAAGGATGAATATAAAGCATAGGTTTATTATCAAAAACTAGCTGATAACAAATGCTCATTAAAAAATAATGCGTACTTTATAGGTTGTTATAACTAAATTTCTTGAACTTTAATTTACAAGTGTTGGTTATTATTTTTAAATACAAATAAATATAATTTGCGTGTAACATTTTTAATATACAGTATGTAAAGTAATGGTTGTAAACAAATTAATAGATATTATTTCAGTGTACTACCAGTATATTGTACTACTAAGTGACACTTTTTAGAAATATTTAGCTGTTAATTTTAAAAAATAACTATTTAAATATTGTTTTAAGTTAACTTAAATCTATGCAAATGTATACCAAATATTAAAATAGCTTTAACCATTTTTTCAAAAAAATTATATAATTTTTTTTAAGTTAAAAATTTTAGTTAAACTAGTTTTATATAGTATTACTAGTTATCTTATAAAATATTTTTGTTTATAATTTTTTTTTATTATGCAAATTTATTTAAATTTTTTATAAAGTTATAAAATAAGTTTGGTAATTTAAATTATAAATTTTTTTAATGCTAAATATATACATATATAATAATCTAATTTTAAATTTTTTACTAGTAAGCACTATATAAATCTATTTTTAAATTCATATTTAAAAAAAGATATAATTTTTTTAAAATTTAAATATAATTTAAAATAAATTAATTTCCAATAAAAAAAATTTTATAATTAAAAATTAAAAATAAATTTTTATATAGTAATTTTAATTAAAAATCTAAAAAATTTTAATTAATAATGAATTTTAAATAATAGCTAAACTTGTATAGTTTACTATAAATAGTAATAATTGTAATAAATTAAAAAAAAGCTTATAATATAAGTAATAATTATTAAGGGTGTGACAACTTAAAGTAGTAATAGAGTTAATACACCCCAAGCTAGCTTGACTATAGTACTAAGTTCAAATTCTACTAATAACTATTTAAACAAAAATACTTGTGTAATAATAACAGATCTTTATTAATAAGTTGAGTTCTATTATTTGTAACTCTGGTCACTTCAATACATCTTGTGCACTAGAAGATTCTAGAAGCATCTGTATTATACAAAGCAATACAAACTAGTTTAGACAGTACAAGTCTATGATAAGATGTCAAAATTAATAAAACTAATATAAAAAACTTGAAAATCTAGAACTGGCTTAGCAAGATCTAAGTAAAAAAGTAGTAAAGATCTTTAATAGTGTTACAGAATAGATTTAAATTAAACTAAAAAATTAGTAAAATTGGCTAACAAGATCTTATGATAGAAAGATTTACCAACTTGGTTGCCAAAGTTGTATCAAAAAAAAGAACATATACTCTAGAAGTATGTATTAAGAAAAGGAGATCTAGAAGATGTCTAAAGCCTGAAAAAACCAACTCTTTCAGGCCAACTAGATTGAAAAGTTAAGATAATCAAGAATACAAGATATAAAAGAAATAAAAAGAAATAAAAAATAAGTACTGGGATTTAAATATCAAACTTTGCAAGAGTATTAATAAGTAAATATAGAGATAAATAACTTCTAAATATATAAAAAAAGCTATAATATAAGTTACTGAAAGTCTATATAAATATATATATAGAATATGTACTATTCTAGCAGGTTTAGTACAGAAATAAATGCCTTCTTGGTTCTTAAAAAGAGACTAGATACTAGAGTTTAAAGTTTCAAATTTTAAAATAAAAAAATTAGATATAGATATTATAGTATAAATATAAGGTTAGAGAATTTAAATAGATAATCTTCTAGTAAATTACAGATACTGCTACTAGTATAAAATCTTAAAGTGGGCTATTTAAATAGACAATCAAAAGTTGTATATATGGCTAGTTGCATTCTCACAATATAAATATAATATAGCTTAGTTTGTACTAAGTATTATATTCAGTTCTAATAAAGTATTAAGAGTCTAAATACTAATCTTAATATTTTTAAAAAAAGTAATAATTATTATAATATAACAAATA